TTCTGAGGATATAGGGGAGGGGCTCTGGCTCTGCTCCGTTGTAATGCACTTACTGCTCCATTTAGTCAGGTCATTGTTTAAGCCTGGTCTTCAATTTGACATAAATGATTTGTTTCCAGCAGATGGTAAGCTACTATTTTTTGCCCTCATTTAAATAGGAAAGCTGTACGCTCCCAGAAGATGAAAGAGGGGCACGGTGCTGCTGACATACAGTAGATTATGAGGGCTGGTCTGGTGAGAATTAAATCCGGGCGGTTCCAATGTGCCATCTGCCTTGTGGCTGCTTTCCCTGTGTGCCCAGGCAAATCCCCCCCCATCTCACATTACTGCAGGCATCTCTTTTGTTCAGGACCCAAAGCATCAGCACCAGAAGCTGAGGGATAGGAGATACTCAATGCTAACCGTGCCTCTAATAAAAGATGTTAGATTTTGCAAAAGCAATTATTTATGGCATGGTTCTTTTTGTCCCTTTGTTGGACCTTTGTTTTCCCTCAGCCTCAGTAGTGGTTCTGTAGAGGTTCTGCTGCTTAAAGTTGTTCCCATTTCTAGGGGTGTTTGTTGAGAGGCATTTGAATTTCTTATTTTGGTTAAACTGCTCAGTCACTGCTGTGCTTTCCTAGTGGTACCAGAAATCATCTGTGGGCTGTGTTACTCAAACACACGTCCTGCTCATAGCTCTCCTCTTCCATCCCAGAACACAGCGTGGTTGTGCAGGCAGCAGCGGGGCTGTGTTCACTGTCTGCAGAGATGTGCTGTGTGCTTTCTCCATGCACTGCAAGATGGGAAAGAGTGCTGTTTAGCTGCTGCTGTTGGATTTCTGTTTTCAGCAGAAGTGTCTCTCTTGTTGGCATCTCCAAGCTTTGGTGGAGCTGTGGTGCTCAGTGAAGGCTCACATTTTTGGGTGGGAGGGTCAGGCAATGTGTTCTAGCCAAGGGCTGTAGTTACGTGGTGTGTGGCATCACTGCAGGACGGTTTGTGTTCTCAGAAATGCTGGGGCTCTCCTTTTTCTTCTTTAGGTTGTTGGCTGCAGTTGCAATCTCCTCTTACCTGGCCACAGCTTCAAGCTCACTTCTTTCTGCTTGGTTGAAGGCAGTCCACTTCTTTGTGCCTCATGCAAAAAGTGACTCTTAGATTTTTTGGTGGGTGGTGAGAGGAAGAGGAAGAAAGGGGAAAGTTGGTACAAAAGAAAGCCTTATGGGAGGGATGGAGCCAAAAGCTGCGTCCATTCTGAGGAATGGCTCTTTTCAACATCTGCAGGAGGAAAGCCCACACTGTATGGGTTGGAACTGAGGGTGGATACCCCCTCTCTGCTCATCAAACACTACCAAGCAGATGTAAAAATGTGTGTATTAGAAGCAGGATAAGCAATCAGACAACTTACTCCTTGTAAGGCTGGGATTTGTTTTGCTTAAAGGATTTTGGAGAAGAAAAGGAGAGTGAGTGTAGGTTGAAGGAAGCCTGTACTCTCTGCAGTGATGCTTTGGGCCCTTGGGTGGAAGCTGGGATGTGAGCTGTGAGGGCACAGGGATCGGGGCATCTGGGGGGCTGAGGGTCTGATTGCAGGGCTGCTAGGTCCAGAAGACCCGCTGTGACCATGTGCAATGAAGTTTTCTTCTGATTGCTTCCTATTGCTGTAGACTTCCTGTCTGCAGTAGGATGTTCTTAAACGTTGAAATGCTTAAATGCAGATCCACACGTGTGAACGCTTTGCTGGTGAGGTGTTTACTCAGCAATCTCTAAAGGCAACATGGGACCATATCTGAATTTTTCGGTGCTTTGTGCATTCCTGTAGCATAAAATGCCCTCTCTCCACTGGACCAGAAACCTCGCTCCAAACCATCAGTGACAAGTATGGCAGTTAGTGCAGCTGAGCAGCAGTGCTAAATGCAAAACCAGAAGGAATGAGTCCCTCTGCATCCAGCGTTAGAGAGCTGGAAAACCTGGTAGAACTGCACTGGAGAAACTGTGTAAAACCCACTTCTTGTCTAAATAATGAGCAGCAGAGCAGGAACTGGGCTCTTTGTGTCAGTTCTGCTGTAGATTTCCTGCATGGGAACAAAATGCTGTTGAACAAAGATTGAAGGAATAGGCTCCTGGAGTACCGCGGCGTCTTGGTTGTGTGTCTTGTGAGCTCCATTGCTTTGGGTTGAGAGCTTGAAAGCATTTCTGAGCATAAAACTTGAAAGGGAGACAGGCAGCTGCCAGCTCAGGCAGGGCTCAGCTCTTACAACAAGATGCTCGAGTGCACTCTGTGGGTTAGCAGTGCTGGTGGCTCACTGCCACGATTCCGTGTTTATTGGGAAGGGCAGGGAAGGGAAGTGCTCCTACGTGCCCATCTCCACATCCCCTGCCCTGGGAGAGGGATTTGGCCGAGGGAAGCTGAGCTCTGACGCCATTCCTGGGGGGCAGAGGAAAGATGTGGAGATGTTTATTGGAGTCAGGCTGGTCCCACCTTCAGACGCTGGGATGAGTGCTGTCTGCAGCGCACAGTGGTGGCTGCTTTGAAATCCAGGCAAGCAAACAGGCTGTTTCCAGAGATGTTAGTGATTAAAAAGAGAAAGCTACATCCACAGGAAGTGTTTGTTTGGAGGCTGTCTTGTTTATCGCCTTGCTGAGGCTTCTCTCCTGCTGTCCCTTACCTTCGCTCCTGATTTCCAGAGTTGTGATTCTGCCTTTTTGTTTTTCAGACAGCAGAACACTTCAAACGTGTGTTTTGGTAACGGTTCTTACAAATGCATTTATTCAAAATAAACACAGAGGGAAGCAGCAACTAAGCATCCTGTTGGGCAGCAAGTGCAGGGCTGTTTGTTGGGGGCTCAGGATGGGGCAGTCCTGCAGCATGGCAGGGAGCTGGCTGAGTGCTGCATCTGTCAGCACCTTTCTGTGCATTGGGACTCCACAGCCTTCTTGAGGAGCCTTTCCTGCCCTTAACCTTGCAGAAACAAACTCCTTTGTTTGTTTCTTTGAACGTTGAATGCTGAGGTCACTCAGCCTTTCCTCACAAAGAAGATGCTCCAGGCTCTTCATCACCTTTGTGGCCCTCTGCTGCACTCCTCATAGGAGATCCCTGTCTTGTTTCAGCTGGGGAGCCCAGAACTGGACACAGTATTCTAAACGTGGCCTCGCCAGGGCAGAGCAGAGGGGGAGGATCGCCTCCCTCAACCTGCTGGCCACACTCTTGAATTTCAATGCATCCCAGGATCCCACCGACCTTCTTGGCCACTGATATCTCGTGGCCAACCTGTTGGCCACCAGCTCACTGCGTGGGCAGCTCTGCATATGGTCTGGTGCTGCAAAACCAGGCTCAAACGAGCGCCGTGGCTCATTCCCAGAGTTGGCTGCTGTGGTTGGGTGAGGGGATGGGATCTGGGGGGTTTCAGAGATCCTTTCCCAAATGCAGCTTAACCCTGGGTTCCACTGCTGCATGGTCAGATCCCACGGTTGCATCTCTGCTGCCCGCAGTGCCCAGCAGGCTGCCAGGGGTCCCCTGTGGAAAAGCAGCATTGCTGAATTCAGACATTGTGCATTACTGGGGAAGGAAAGTCAGAGCAGGTCCCTAATGCTGCTTTGTTATAAACCACAGCTTTAGCAATAACATTAAGCTTTTGCATTAAATGCAAGGTTAGAGAGCTTTGGAAAGCTGGGGAGGCTTTTGTCTTTTAAGCACTCTGTTTATTGTGACAATTAGTTGGAGCTAAATTAAGATTGTTGGCTGCACCGATACGTAGGAAGGTGCCATCTCAACGCGTTCCTTAAGTTTGTGCTCTGTGGCAATGTTTGTGTGCTGAGGTTTGGGCTGGGGGATTGGGAGGCATATTGGATTATATGCTATTTGCTCTGCGTAAGCAGTGGCAATTTATTGCTGCAGATACATGTGATGCAGTGCACAAAGATTAGTTCTATCCTCTCTAAAGCATGATTATTTTAGGGCCTCTTTATACCTTAAATAGATATTCCCCGCATGTGATTTCCATCTTTTTGTGTCAACAGCCCAGGCTAAAGTTGAAATAAACATTGCATCAGCTTAATAACACAGCTCTGAAGAAATCTGCTCTCCATTATGGAGATTGTTTGGAAGCCTTTTAGTCTTAAATTTTTCAGATGTTTGATGGTGCAACGCAGAGGTCTCATGAATCCCAAAGTGCTCTCAGGCTCTTTGGGTCTGCCTTGTGCTGGGCAGGGTGGTGTTTGTAAGTACAGCTCCGAGCACAGCAGTTGGTCCTATTTTTGCACCCCCCTTTTTAGATTGTTTTGAGGCTCTGCAGCCTGTTTCAGGCTCATGTAGATGTGAGGAACGCAGGTGAGTATGCAGCTCCTGACCTAACAACAGCTCCTGTTGGCTGGGTGGGCTTTGTGTCAAGCAGCAGATTTTCCCTTCCCATAGCAGCTGGGCAGGGGGATGCTGTGAGTGCTCTGAGCCCCTGTGGGCCGTGTGGGATTTTTGCATGGCTTGGTAGGAGGAAGAAAACTCATCACGTGTGTGTCCTCATCTGCTCCATGTCCAGGCACTGTGCAAGAGGGGAAGGGGACTCATGAAGGAGTGAACCTCGGGACAGCCATGTGGGCTCTGCTTCCCCTTTGCCTTGTTCCCAGATTTTAACCATTCTTGCTTGCCCAGCTGTAGATGTGATGCCAGGGCATTAGCCAGCGTTGTCCAAGTGGTGAAGGATGCATGGGCGAGCAGCCATAGAGCTGTTTTCTGTCAAAACAAGCAGAATGAGGTATTTGTTGCCTTAATTTGTAGACTGGAATCAGCAGGGCAGGGCAGTCATGTCCCGTCCCTGGAGGTGTTCAAGGCCAGGTTGGATGGGGCCCTGGGCAGCTTGGGCTGGTATTGAATGTGGAGGTTGGTGGCCCTGTGTGTGATGGGTGAGGTTGGAGCTTCGTGATCCTTGAGGTCCCTTCCAACCCTGTTCATTCTGTGATTCTGTGTCTGCTTGTGCATGGAGCCGCTCGGCTCTCCTACCCGCGGTGTTTGACCTCTCACACCTCTCTTACAGCACCACCATGACAACAGAGAAGAGCCCAGCGGCAGACCCCGAAAACTCAGAGCAGCAGCAGGCGAAGGAGGAGGAAGGGGCTGCCAACACACAGAAGCAGGAGGCGTCCCCAGAGCAGGGGTCGGGGCCCAAGCAGAAGGCATCCAACGGCAACACACCCACGGCTGAGGAGCAGGGCCGGAAGGAGCGCCGTGCCTCCGAGGGTCGAGGTCTCTCCCGCCTCTTCTCCTCCTTTCTCAGGAGGCCCAAGTCCCAGGTGTCTGAGGAGGACAGAGACACCGATGTGCCCAAGGAGGGCGGAGGGGACCAGAAGGACTCAGGGGTAGGAGCCAACCCTGACGAGGAGGAGGAGATCCTGGTGAAGGCCCCGATTGCGGCTCCCGAACCGGAGCTGAAGACAGATCCATCTCTTGACCTCCACTCCTTAAGCAGTGCAGAAACGCAGGTAAAGCACTCCGCTCGGCCTGGCAGCCTGTGTGCTTAGGCAGAATTGTAGAACAGTTCTTATCCATTGATAGTAAGCTAGAGAAGAAAAACCCCTGGGATGCTGCAAAGTCTCTTTGTCATCTCCATGTATTGCAGAGCTTGCTCCGCTATCAAACCATACTGCCAACCACCTGAGATTGTACTCACTCTTCAAAGCATATCTTAAAACACCCTGCACTGGCTCAGTGCTCTGCTGAGGCGTGGAAATACCCTCAAGAATTTGGGTTTGAATTCATCGTTCTCAGCAGAGCAGTTTCTCATTTGGATGCCCTTGGTGTGTGCAGAATAAAGGCAGGTTAATGGTACAAGACTGCAAGAGAATGTGAACCTATGGGAGGGTTTCTTGGACTCCAGGAGGTGTAACTGTGGCATTTCAGGTCTTTGTCATCTCTTCAGTCTGGGCTGTTGCTGCAGTTGCCAAACACAAGTATTTTCTATAAAAGCATCATGTAGATAGAGGTTTCTGCACAGCACACGTGCTGAGCCCAGCTCCTAGCAGCTAAAGCATGGTAGGAACCAAGGGAGAGATAGCCACAATGAGACATTCACTAAGCAGCAGCTCATTTAGGCTGTCAGTTGGCCTCTCTTACTCCCTGGTGGGATCTTGGGGCTATATAACCCTGTGGGCACCAATCTAGCTGCCTGGAGTTACAAAAAGGCAGGGACTGCAGCTCCTGGGACCTCCTAAAGCCCAACCAACCCAGGTGTGTCGATGGAGACAGCAAGTTAATGGTAAAATCTGAACTACATGCGCTGCTGCTGTTGGGTTTTGAGTGGTCTGCAGTGATGTGTGACGTTTGAACTGTAAACTCTGGGTTTTTAGAGACTTTTTGAGAAGTACTGTCTGAGTTGGAGTGTTCCCAGCCGTAGGCAGTAGTTGTAAATCCAACTCCTTAAGTTTACAGCGTTGCAAAGAAGGTAGCAGGTAACGTGGTTTTATTTTTCCAAATTCCTGAGCTTGTAAAAAATACGGGATGATCCCTGCTTTGTACCTACCAGGGTTGGGACATGCTGGGCAGCTGGAGGTTTACATTCAGTTTCAGCCCTGAAGTTGCTTTTTTGGGAGGAAATGCATGATTTCTTTCTCTGTTTAACTTCGCTTTGCACGTGAGTGTGCGCAGAGAGCAAACCCACAGCCTTCCTTCAGACAAAGCATTCAGGGCTTTTTTCTTTTTTTCAGTTCTTATTTCAGATTGACGTTGGTGGCTTTTTGCACTGTGACACTCTGCAGATATTTCTGCCGTGAAAGCATTTGCGCGAGGTGCTGCCTGTTTGATAAATGCTGACCGACGGGCATTACGAGCTTTGATTCTCTGCTCCCTATTATCCCAACCCTGCTGGGACAGAAGTTAGCGGCTTGTGGACGTTATTGAGTTCCTAAATACCACAGCCAGCAGTGCCTGCGTGCGGCTGTGCCTGGCTGTGATTTCATGAGAGGCGATGGGCTGAATTAACAGCTCACCGCCGGCTCAGACCAGCGTTGGGCTTTCCCTTCCTCTGCCACATTGGGGCACTTCCAGCACTTGTTCGAGCCTGCTGTGGACTCATTTAACCTGCTGAAATGGCTGTTTAAGAAAAAAACACCACTTCCTTCCTTCTTCTGTTCCCAAACTGTGTCGTTTTCTGCTACTTGAGTGAGTTAAGCTGGCTCCTGAAGTGCTTCAGTGGGCAAAGGGAGAGGTTGTCAGGGCCGAAAGGTGACTTCTCCTTTTGGTGACCTGAAAATTGGCACGATCTAACCTGCCTCAGTTTCTCTAATCAACCCCTTTTTGGTTTTTTTTTGCATCATTTATTAAATGAAGAGAATGACTTGAAGCAGTGTGCAGATTACCATTGCTCAGTGTGCTTATTGCACTCCTTTGTGGGTTATGCATCTGGGCTGATAACAAACGTTGGGGCGCAGAGTTTGTTTCATGGGCTGGGTTTTTGTTTGCCCCATCTAACTGGCTGTGGATGTGCTGGGGTTTTCAGCCTGCGCAGGAGGAGAGGAGGGAAGAGCAGGAATCGGACAGCAAAGACCTCGAGGGCAAGGAAGGAGGTGAAGGGAAGGAGGAGAGCGCTGAGGCAGAGCTGAAGCCAGAGGCTGCAGAGCCCAAAGCAGACAAGGATCTGAAAGCTGCCCAGAGATCCATAAGAAGACACAGAAACATGTACTGCAAAGTTGTCTTGCTGGATGACACCATCTTCGAGTGTTCTGTGGATGTAAGTACATGCAGAGTTTGTTTCTTCTCTTTTCACTTCTCCTCCAACTACCACCACCACTATTTAATGGGGATCTAATTTGCTGCCAGTGATTTACACAACAGCCTTTACTGCACAGCCATCTTGCTGTAAGCTGCCATAACTTATTCAGTGTGTTGTGAAAATCTCCGCAGTTCACCCCAGCAGTTGGTCTTGTTTCTTGTTCTGTGATTTCCAGGCACCTTGTTTTTAAAGATGGATGGAAGTTTAGAAGAATGTTACCCCTCTTGCTGCTCATCTTCTCTCTCATTTTCATACCAGACGAGAGTTGGGTTTATTGTGCCGTGTTGGGATTGTCTAAATATCTTCTGCCTCTTTCATCTGAATAAAATGTGTTGTCATGTTAATCTGTGCTTTTCTGTTCACCCACAGTGCCTTTGACTGTCAGGCTGCTGGCCATCTCCCATAGCTTGGATGTAAAGAAAAACAAGCTGCATTTAGCTCAGGGTTTGAATATGTTTGCAGTAAACAATTTAAAATTATTATGTTGACTTACAGCACTGCAAAGGGCTTTTATTCTGCTTTATTTTGTGCGTTCTCTCGCTGGGCTGCCTTGCTGTCAGGGCAATAAAAAGCGAGCAGAAATGCCTATTTCAGTATTGAAGTGCTTGCCCGGAATATTAATAATCAGGCACTCACCACACATCCACCAGCTTGTTTTCCTCGTCCCACTAGCTAAAAGGTATCTGGGCACAGGGCTCCTTGCGGGAGCGTCACCTCGGGTGATCCTGGGCAAGTAGGTCAGTGCTGGCAGTTTGTGTAACAGCACAGCCGTTGTTGCTGAGCAGGATCAGCACTGAGCCTTGCTGCAGCACTGGGTGTTCGTTGGGGATTTCATGTGTAGCCCCCCAAAAAAGCCAGCTGCTGTCTGCCAGGGTGGTGCTGGCAGCCCCTCTGCTGTGCTGGTCTGGCACAGCCATCCTGCATGTGCACGGCATGGCAGTGGGCTCAGAGCAGCGGAGAGGCAGCGGCTGCTATCGATGAGCAGCTCTTAACTGCACGAGTACCCTTGGCTTCGATGCCAGTATCATCTTATAGAGGGCTGGAGCATCTCTCCTTCGAAGACAGCAGGCTGAGGGAGCTGGGCTTCTTTGGAGAACACTCTGGGAGGACCTCACTGCAGCATTCGGGTACTTAAAGGGAGCTTATGATGAGGGGAGAGACCATTTGCACAGGCAGACAGAGATAGGACAAGGAGAAATGGCTTTTGACTAAAAGAGGGGAGATTTGGCTTAGATGGGAGGATAAATTCTTTGTCCACAGGCAGTGATGCCCTGACCCTGTGGTGCTCCATCTCTGGAGCTGCTCGGTGCTGGGTTGGATGGGCTCTGCTCAGCCTGAGCTTTTGGGGGGCAGCCGGCCCATGGCAGGGGTTGGGGTGTGGGGGGCTGTAAAGTGCCTTCCAACCCAACCATTCTGCAATTCTAATCTAGAATTTTGAGAATTCAGGTCTTAATTAAGAAGGATTTGCAAAAGTGTAGGCAAAGACCAGCACCAGTGCCTTTATTCAAAGAGAATAAGTGCTTTCAGACGATCCTTGCAGCTGACAGCCATAGAAAGCTTTTAATTCCTACATGTCTTCAAGTGCCAGTTCCTTGAGAAATATCCCAGGCTAACACATGAAGTGCATTAGCTGTAGAGCTGCAGTGTGTGCTAACAGCCTCACAGGGCTGGAATAAAACACGGCTGTGGGCTTTGATCAATTGCCATGCAAATATGGCTAAAAGGAGAGATGCCAGCACAAGTGATGCATTAGTAAAGCTTATTTGGCGTCACTGGAACTGCCCTTCTTTTACCAAACCCTCCAATAGAATTCGCTGCTTTTGGTTACCATAGTTTTGTGCCTTTAGGGATGTTTTTCTTCATGCTTTGCACTAAAAGGGTATCAGTTCCTAGGGCCAGCTCATTCACATCACTTCTGCAGGATTTTGGAAAAAGAAAAGAAGAAGGAGTAGATGGAGATACTCAGAGAGTATTTCTGGAGGCAAGAAGTTGAGTGCTGAGCAGCTTTCAGTGTATAAGGCAAAAATAGGGAAGCTAGGTTTAATGAGCAGATGGGGTTGGGGAAATGGCTGTGGAAATGATGGCCTTTTGTTCTGAGCCCCTGGGTCTTTCATGAAGCTGCTGAGCCTCCAAAGGGGGGCTGTCATGGAGGGCTGCAGCAGCTTCATGTCTCACATTGGCTGTCGTTTAATCAGCACTTGGTTGTCTGAGAACCTGATTTCAAGCTAGTCGACGCTTTTCACCTTTCTTTGTAGTGTCTGCTGCTTTATTCTGTTGCTGTTCTGCAGACAAAAAGCAGCCTATCCTCTGGAATCTCTTCTGTGTCTTTGCAGAAACATGCCAAGGGGCAGGATCTACTTAAGAAAGTCTGTGACCACCTTAATCTACTGGAAGAAGACTATTTTGGTTTGGCCATATGGGACACGCCAACCTCCAGGGTAAGAAGTTGCTTTTTTATGGGTGGATTCAGCTCTGTGCAAAGCTGTCCTCCGTGGAGATGGCGATGCATAAGTTGCTGATGCTCTTCTTGAAACTACTTTTGATCTCCTCACTGAGAAAGGACTAAAAGGGCTTTTTGTATTGCGACTTGAGGGGGAGGTTAAGCTCCCTTAGGTGATGTGAGATGGACCTGAATGCTGACACGCTGCAGGGGCACTTCAGTCCTTGAGCCTGTGTTCATGGAAGGCACACAGCTGTCAGCAGGAGAACCACTGCTATGCTTTGGGCACGGAGGAGTCATTGCATGGAGGTTTACTTAAAGTAGGGGCAGACCTGGGCTGTGGTGCTCAGGGAGGCTTTGGGTTTGCTTTCCTGTTCCTCCTCTGACTCGTGACTCCCCTTCCTCTTGTTTCAGTAACAAATCCTGGGCTTTGAATTCATGCTGGATTTATTTTACCCTTGGTGTCCTCCTCCTCCAGAGCAGTGCCAGCAAATGTAGCCATTCTTAATAACCAGTGGTTCAGTGCATTCTTTGAACAATAACACTGAGCTGTGCTGGTAGCTTTATCACCTTTGTGATGGGAACACGGGCAGGGAAGTGGGAGTGAATCAAGGCTTAAAATGTGCAGCGGGTGAGCTTGTAGCAGCTGCTGGCTCCTAGCACAGATTCAGCTTCTGCTACCTACGTGCCAGCCTAAAGCACACCCTTGGTGGTGCCTGGGAGGATTCCTGGCTAAGATTTGAGGCTTGGGATCTTTATGTTTGTTTTTTCAATTGTTTCAGTATATTTCCAGCAGGAAGTCACAAATCCCTAAAAGCTGTTAAGAATTTCAGCAGCAGAGTGTATGTATGTCCCTTTTCCATCAGTATTGTGCCTTTGAAAAGGGAAAACACGGCTGGGTTAAGGAGCACCAGCTGCTGCCTTGGCACTGCTGTCAGCATTCGGTGGGTTTGAATCGAGGCCTTTTCATACCAAAAATTCTTACTCAAATGGTTTTGGTTTAAGGTCTCTGGTTGGTTGGACCAGAGCAGTGCCTTATCTTTTAAACCCCTGGTTACACTTTAACTTGAGCAATTACTCAAACTCTGTTTGATGAAGCTAGCCAAAAGCGTTCCACATTGAAAACAAGGGGCCGCTTTTATGTCCTTCAGACCAGTTTCGTCAGTCCACACTCTGGCTGCTCCCTTGCTTCACCTATAGCTTCCATGTTGGGCCACTTTCCAACAGCCACAGGATGTATTTGTTGTTAAAGGACTAAATAATTGAAAGTGTGCATTTTTGATACGCGGGCGAAACAAAGCTCTGTTTGTGCCACAGGCAGCAAGCTGCCCTGCTGGCTTTGGGTGCTGCCTGACCTGAGCTCAGGGGCTGTGCAGCTTTTTAACCATAGAGACAGAAAACAGGTAGCTGTGTCAGATCCCTGTGTCAGGGCTGAGAGTGCAGGAAGGTAAAGTTGCTCTAGTGCAGAGGAAGCTGCTCTCTTGAAGCCTGGTTTGTCCTGATGGGGGACCCGGCACCAGGTGACTGATTCACTGCTAGAACTGATCTCAATGGGAAGTCTGTAGCTGTGCTTCTTCACCTCCTGGCAACTTGCAGAGCAGCAGGGAGATGCAGGCCTCTGTTCAAGGGCAGTCAGAAGGCCGTGTGCAGGTTCTCCCATACATAGGCAAGAAACCTTCCTGGTGATGGGTGTTTTCAGAATGGAAATTACAGAGGGTACAGGTGGACAGGGCACTGCTTAGCACCAAAGCAGCCCCAATGCCAGTGTATACATAGGGGTGCTCTGCTTAAAACAGAAGGTGTAAAGAGAAAACAAGTGCAGGAGCAGCATGCCTATTTCTCAGATGGATTTCCTATCCGTAGCTTAGGTTAGGGAGGCCAGCATGTAAAAAGATAAGATTACACATAGGCATTGCTGTCTCCCTGCCACAAAGCTAACAGTCTTTCTAGTCAAGAGAAATTGCTGCGGGGGTTGCAGTGTGTCACTTCTTGCACCTCAGGAGATCCAGATGTGCAAATGTTCCTCAGTCCTCAGCACTGCAAAGAGCCAGGAGTGCTGGGAGCTGCTCCCACTGTGCTTGGCAAAAGCAGGAGTGTTGTTCTGAGCCTCCTGTTGCACCATCATCCCACAAAACCCCAAATTACTGGGGGGGGAAAGGATATATTTCTAAATTTGTAGCTGAGATAATTACTAGAAACTTGAGTCATACTTTAAAGAGACTGAGTTTATGTCACGTTCTCCAGCTGCTGGATGTTTTCTCTCCCATTTTAGTGATTAGGTCATTAAAGAACACAGCTAATAATAGAAGGTCTTTCCATCTTTGTTCTCAGGAGGGTAAGTATGCAGATAAGGGGCATAACAAGAAGGCAGACACACAATTTGTCTGTTTCCAAAGGTCTTTGAGGAAAAATGTGTTGCACAAGTGCTCCCCTTGGCTGGGCTTGCCTGAGACCATACCTGCTGGGATGCGATTGCAGCCTTTTCTAATATGCTGCTTTTAAAAAAGACAGTGCAAATAGGATCTGACAGTGCAGGATGTGCTGTGCTGAGTTCCCTCAGATGCTGCTGCCGTGTTTTCAGGAGCCAGCATAAATTCATTCATTTAAACCCTTTTCTGTAAAGGCTGCCTGCGTGGTGTAGGCTGCTCATCAGCTGTGTGTGCTGAGCCTCTGAGGTGATGGGGTCATCTCACAGGAGACAGAGCAGCTTCATATTGGAAACTGTTCATTCATATTCGTTGTCGGATTGGAAATTCACATGCTGAGGCTTCAGGCTGGAGTAAAACTTCTGAAACATGCTCTCCATCTTCAGTTTCCATGGTTGCAGCCGTGCCTGGTTTTTGCTGTGCTGTTCATGACTTGCAGTTCGCTGTGGTGTTTCTGTAACGTCTGTTATATTGTGAATGCTTTTATTTCCTTACAGACGTGGCTGGATCCTACCAAAGAAATAAAAAAACAAGTTCATGGTAAGTGGATGGGATTTATCAGGTGGCTGTGTGTGTATCCTCTCCCCTTCCTTGCACACATGTGGCTCTGGCGTGTGGCCCTGAGTGCTGGGCAGGTGCTTGGGCAGGATCAGCACGAGTTCAAGCTATCTGTGCTTTCTTTCTCTTCTCCTTAAGTATTTAGTTATGCTCTACATGGAGGAAAAGTGTCATTTCCTTGCGAAAACATAGCTTGGAGTGTGTTTGCCCTGTGCAAGCCATGCTCTCCTTACTACTACTAAATAGGGTGGAGAGGGAGATGTCAGCAGTTGCCATGTAAAATCTAAGAGGCGGCTGTTGGAGCTGAGCCCAGCTGCGTGCTGGAGTGAAGCAATGTGGGCTCCAAGGTGGTTTTAGGGTCCAAATAGGGATACTGGAATGATAAACAGAGGCCTCAAGCAGGATCAGCACAGATGCCACGTGCTTTCAGAAAGGTTTTAAGCTCTTCTAGCGCCGAGTTCATTCAAGATGAGGGCAGTGTCAAAGTTAAGTAAACTTGTGAGGCTTTTGTTTTCTTTCAGGGACAGCATAGGGTGTGACTGCTTCACGAGTAAACGCTGTTCTGTGGGTGTGCTTGGGGGGCACAGAATGAAGTGTGTCACTGCATGACTGAGGTTTTCATCTATCTTAGCAAGTTAGCAGCAAGCACGTATTGTCTTCCTGCAGCAAAGTGTTTTTTGGAACTAGGGTGCTAAAAGGCACAGGAGAAGGGAATTCCAGGGTTGCTCTGGGATGTGATCAGGAGTTGCATTGCGTGTGCATTGAGCTGCACACACAGGTGATCTGCTCAGCTGTGTCACTGAGCCAGGCAGGCTAATTGTACCACAGATAATGCCACTTCTCAACACAATTACAGGGGTCCTCGCTGTAATGTGTGCAGCAGTGCTGTTTGCAGCAAGCTTTATTGCCACAGCTGGCTCTTGAGTTGTAAAGCTCTTCTTGCCTTGGTGCTTGCTGCTCCTTCCAGATTGATGCCTGTGCTGTGTTGAAGTGCTCTGCCCCCATGGCCGCAGCACATGAGGCTGCTGAGTGAATTAGCACATCTGTTCCTTATGAGACATTTGAAAATTGGGTTGAGTGATGAAGCACTAATTCATTAACCTACAGCACGTCTGACCTCTCTTCATGACTCTTTTTTTTTTTATCAGCAAAGTATTTGAGTAATTCAGCCTCTTGGGATCGAATTTAATTGTTTTTTTTCCATCAGTTGTGGCATCTTTCACATGTATTCATCTGCCCTGCTTTGTTTTCTCATGTGTGTATCTTAGCTCTTGTAAATGGGATTGTATCTTTTGCCATCTGCCTCAGCAGCAGTGAGCTGTGTGAGCAGCAGTATGGAGCTCATGTTTGGGTCCGATTGTTGCAAAGCTCTTCTGCTGGGTTCATTTTTCTGAAACTTCTCTTTGTATTTTCAGGAGGCCCCTGGGATTTTACTTTCAATGTCAAGTTTTATCCTCCGGATCCTGCTCAGCTGACAGAGGATATAACGAGGTGAGTGCCCCATTCATCTTGCTAGCAGATAGCTTGCTGAGCAGCGCTGGGAGCACCTTCAGGAAGCTGCTGGAATCAGATTAGCAGTGGATGGATGGATGCCCCATCCCTGGAGGTGTTCAAGACCAGGTTGGATGGAGCCCTGGGCAGGCTGCTCTTGTACCAGATCTGGAGGTTGGTGGCCCTGCCTGTGGCAGGGGTTGGAACTTAGTGATCCTTAGAGTGCCTTCCAACCCAAGCCATTCTGTGATTATAAGATCCCATGATCCTCTGAAACAGAAGTTTTTAATACTGAAGCATCGCTCCATCCTTGAGGACATCTTGAAGAACTGTTTGGAGGGGTTCTGTTTGTTTGGATCGAATGTTTGTGTGTCTGGGGATGCTTCCTCCCTTCACCAAAGTGCACGTGCTGAAAGCAGTGTCTTTATACTCACGTTTTTGTATGGGAAAATGCACTTTTCTTTTAAGAGAAACTTTTCTGATGATAGAAAGCGTCCTCTGTTTTTTTTCCGGAGTGGAGGTGACCTGAAATCCTCTTGTCTTCCAGCTGTGGAGTGCTGTGACGATCATCCCATAATTAAAAATACACATGAGAAAAAACACTCTGCTTAATTCACAGTGCTGCCAAATAATGACTTTGTTCAGTGCTCTGGAGCAGATTTCCTCGGGTCTCTGTGATCTCTGTAAATAGCATTGTTTTTTTTCTGCCAAAGGTATTACTTGTGTCTTCAGCTTCGACAAGACATCATCTCAGGGCGGCTGCCTTGTTCCTTTGCCACTTTGGCTCTGCTGGGTTCCTACACAGTGCAGTCAGAGCTGGGGGACTACGATCCTGACCTGCACAGCACAGATTACATCACTGAATTCAAACTGGCTCCAAACCAGACCAAAGAGCTTGAAGAGAAGGTTGTGGAACTTCATAAAACCTACAGGTAAAGAGCACTGGCACCTAAGAACTGGCTTTTTAGATTGCTCTTTTTTGACAGGTGCCTCAAATGAGTGCTCCTTTTCAACAGTATCACTGTGAAACTGGGTTTTATTTCAGATAAAAGCACAGATTTCGTTGCTGTAACCTTGTTGTTCCTCTTTTCATGTGTTTGTTTTTGGATTTACACGAGTTTTGAGTTGTGATCTGATTGGAACAGATCCCAGGTCGTTATGTATGTGCTGTAGTCTGCAATGTGCTTGGAGTTTTCTGCTGCCACACATAACAAGTAATGTGTTATGGTGTGGAATCATTCCAGTTAATGCTTGAGGGACAAAAATGCATTATGCTGTCATCATGTCCACAAATGCATAGTGACCTGGGCAGATGTGTGTTGTTCTGGTGGGGCTGGAGGGCTCTGATGTCAGATCTGAGGGTCACAGTGGCAGACCCTCCTCCTCATCTCATCTTGACCTTATTTTCCTAGATGCTCTCAAGTGCTTTGGTTGCAAAAGCTCCATGGAGCGGTGTGCTCCCCGAGGGGTGACATGGAGAGCATCCATAGCTGCACAGTTCCAGTGATACTTTTGGATTTTTGAGGGAAAAAAGCCCATAGAAGTGCTCCAAGGTACCAAGGTGTTGTGGAGGTGTTGCTCTAGAAGCCCTCTGAGCTGTGGGAAGCTGCTGGCTATGATGCACTGATGGTTGAGAGCAGAGCACATGGAAACTGATAACCAAAGTGCAGCTGTGGGGGTGGGCATAGAGCCCTGGCTATCACCAGAGCCACGATTAATGCCTCACTCAACCATGCAAATCAATACTTGATCTTGATTCCCCTCCGTTTGCTGTAAGAGGAAAGAGGGACAATAAGTACTGGGCCACTGACAGGCTTCATGACTGGGAGTCAAAGGCCGTGGGCTGTGCCAGAAGCAGCAGATCACATTGCTGAATTATTCATGCCTTTGTTACAAGATTACTTGGCTGTGTGGGACATAGATTTTTTTTTAAATGCACTCGTGTGTGCAGTAGGAAGTATGTAATATGTGTGCATCTCATCTCTGGTCCGTGTTCTGTGAACTGTCAGAGGGTTTCCAGTGGAAAAGCTCCTTCTCTCACTGCTTTATTTGGAGAGCAAAGGTGTGGGTTGGAAACAGTCACTGCTCTCAGGTCCTGTGCAGCACACTGTCCTTGCAGTGCTCTTTGTCCTACACACTGCTAAGTACTACCATTTACACTGCACACTGCATGGATGTGTGTGCTCAGCAAGAAAGACATCAGAGCTGTGAACAAAATGAACAAAATGGAGTGTTTGCAACTGAATACTCTTCCAGCTGAGCTGCTGAATGTACCTTGCTCCACTGAAACTTATTAACAGGGGCGCTTCGTTGATAATAGCCTCCATTATCAGGATGTTGCTGTTAAGCAAAGTTCTGTTGTGCTGCCTTTCCTGCAGATGGTACCATCTGTTCCCAGAAAATGTCTCATTCATCTCGTCTGCCCCATCAGGAATATCTGCCACGTGGTTTCAGCTGTCCTCAAACAATGGCTGGGTTTGGGAAGGTCTCAGGCCGTGTGCTCACCATGCACAGTCCCTGTCACTCCTTGCCTTCAGCTGAATTGGAGCGTTCTCCATCTCGAGTTTTGAACCCTGTGCCACACTTTTTTCACAGATCAATTACTTTCTAGTCTGGTGTCAATAGCACTCAACTGAAGAACGATGCTTCTGTTTTATGAGGGTGTCTCAGAATGCAAACTTGTGCATTCAGAGCAACTTAGTAGTTCATCATCTTGGCACAGAGTTGCTTGTGCTCAAAGCAGAAGATCTAACAAGTAAATGGTTTTGTCAGATCTGATGTGTCTCCTCATAAAAGCAGCATTTATGGAAATGCCAAACCCTTTCTCTCTTTCTCCAGATCCATGACTCCAGCCCAAGCAGACCTGGAATTCCTTGAGAATGCAAAGAAGCTGTCTATGTATGGAGTTGACCTTCACCACGCCAAGGTGAGAATCAGTGGGAGGTGTGGTGATTAATTAAGAGCTTCAGGGAAAGACTAAAGGAGTAATTTGGAGGACGCCCTGGAACCCAGTACAGCTCTGACTCTGGTCTCTGCTTAAATGTACTTTCTCAGGACTTGGAAGGGGTGGATATCACTCTGGGAGTCTGTTCCAGTGGCCTTCTTGTTTACAAAGATAAGCTGAGAATCAACCGCTTCCCTTGGCCCAAAGTCCTGAAGATTTCCTACAAACGCAGCAGCTTCTTTATTAAGATTCGCCCAGGGGAGGTACGTTATGGCTCCTTGGGGGGGTTTGTTAAATCAGCTTCTGATATCTTTGGGAAGGAAGCAAGCTTCCTACTGAGTTGGCATTTTAGACCCTTGTGCTTCTGATATTGGCTTGACCCTAAGTTCAGCTCTTCAGGCAGAGCCCAGTGACCTTGCTGAAGTGCTGAGAGAGACGAGGAAAACTTTAGTGTGTCATCCAGCACCACCTCCTGGCACAGTCTGGTATTCTCACATCCAGGCTGAAAGCAATTCACAGCTGAAATTGTTCGAGAGCCTCCTCCTTTTCTGGAAATGTGGCAAAATATGGGGCAGATGGTTACTGTTCTCACACCTGAGCTCCTCCTGCACATCCGTGGAGTGAGCTTAGTGCTCCTGGGCAGGGCAGGTAGATGGGCTGAAGCTGCACTTCTGTAAGAGTTGCTTCTTGCCAAACCTAAATCACTTATGTTTCCAACAGCAAGAGCAGTACGAAAGCACAATTGGATTCAAGCTACCAAGTTACCGGGCAGCAAAGAAGCTGTGGAAAGTATGTGTTGAACATCACACATTTTTCAGGTGAGTTTCCTAAATGATAGGCTCCCTTTGACTGATAAATGCTGAAGATGAGTGGCTGAAGATGAGCACACCTTCAGCGTTCCTTATGTTCCAACAAAAATCGGAGTGAAACGATTGCAGGGAAATGAAATGTTTATATTGCAATGCATTTCCATGCAGCTTCCGTGCGAGGTTTTCTTTCTCATGCAGATGTGTGTCGCTTCCTAGATCCAGAGTCGTGCTTTTAACTTGCACGTCTGCTTTCCAGGCTGACTTCGACTGAGGCCATCCCCAAGAGCAGATTCCTGGCTCTGGGCTCCAAGTTCCGTTACAGTGGGCGGACGCAGGCGCAGACCAGGCAGGCGAGTGCCATGATTGACAGACCTGCACCCCAGTTTGAGCGCACAGCGAGCAAGAGGGCCTCCAGGAGCCTCGATGGAGGTTAGTGGGCAGCTCTGCTTTGTGCCCCTGCAGCATCCTGCCTGGGTTCAGCTCATTGGCTGTGTCTGATTTTGCTTTGATTTGGTGAACTTAGGGTTTTGATCCCTTTGAAAACTTCTGAGTATTCCCTGAATGCTATTAGAATTTGCTTCTTTGTGAAAAAGCAACTTATTTAACTTCTCACTTCAATGCAAGACCTGGATGTAAAAGATAAACCCTACAGCAGTGTCACCAAGAACTGACTGTCAAAAACCAACTGTGGGTGTTGGTGCTGAAGGCTCCTTGCAAAGTTCTGGTGTAACCACATTCAGCCTCAGGACATACTCCTTTTGGGAGATGAAGAATTGTAGGATGTTGATGTATTACAGGGTGGGGTTGAAACTAGATGATCATTATGATCCTTTTCAACCTAGGCCATTCTATGATTCTGTGTTTATTTAATGTAGATTCTTAAGTTACATTGCTTTCCTTGAGGGGGAGAGATTTGCCACTAGTGCTTGAATCTTGGTCAGTGTCTGCTAAGGGGATGGCAATACTGAAGTTTGTGGTACATCCATCAGAAGGGCTCTTTCCTGGCGATTTTAAAAGGTCCTGATAACAGCAGATGTGCATGAGAGGTGAAGTGTGAAAGGGGGAGTGGTGAGAGTGCTGGATCTGAGTCAGCGGGTGCTTGTGAAATTAGGACTCCCAGCTGCAGTGCTGTAACTCAGTGTCAGGGCATGGAAAGAGCATCCTGTGAACGTAATGCTTCCGTCCCCATTGAGGTCTGCTGCCTTTTTCCATCTGCTGTGTGGGCAGTTGTTAACATGTGCACCATTTCTTCAGCTAAACGTGCGACTCAAAAAGTTGAGTTCAGAGCCGTAGAGGAAGAGAAGCAGGAGGAGGTGGTGGTGGTTGAGGTTCCCGAACCAAAACCCGTGGATCAGTTCCGAGAGAAGCCAGGTATAGCTGTGGTGGCTACAACTCTCTGCAGTGCGTTTGCTGTCCTTTCCCCACTGAGATGCCTTTACATGCTTGTTCCTGACAACTCTGACCAGTTTCACTGAGCCTGGCGGCTTGCTTTCTTGCTTCTTTTCAAGGAGAGTTTTGCAGATGGAGGACAGGCAGCCTGGAAGAGCCCCAGTTCTCATTCAGTTCCTGCTTTGCACCCCGCTAGGCAGCAACCTGGGGAGGTGGGGAAGCAGGCAGGATGGCTGGCACTTCAGAACTGTCTCCTTATTAAATTTGAGTGTGTTTTAAAATATAGATTAGAAAACTCTCCAAGTTCTTTTCCTGTGGTCATAATACTTTTTATAAAGCTTCTGGACGACTTCATTCATGGAATGAGCTTGCAGGTTTTTTTGAGCCTGTTTTGGTGGTGTGAGAAATGCCTTGCATTTTAGTACATGGAGCCTAGATTTCTCTTTATTGCTAATAAATATTAACATCCTCTTATGTATATTTAAATACCACTGATGATGGCAGCAGTGGTGATGTCAGATGTTGACTTTCTTCCTCACTTACATAGGCAGTGCTTGCAGTACATTACGACTGAGCATAATTCATATGCATTGTGTGCTGTTCCATTTCCCTTCTTCTAGTGTGCATTTCTACAGTGAGTGCTTGACATCACTCGTTTTCAGGTCTGAAATCCAGCTCAGGGTTTCACAAAGTGACGTGGCAGATTTTCCCCCCCTGTTGCTGTCTCCCCTCTGTTCCTGCAGTCAGCACAGCGCTCTGCTGTAAGAGCAGAAGATGCAGTTAGCATGTACCACAGCAGGATGGATGATGGGTGTTCTTACAAAGTGCTCGAGAATAGTTTTCATGTCCCCCCCAAAGTGCTTTCGATGGGAAAGAACCCAAAGAGCTGATTAGTTTTGGTTTTAACTCTTCCCCAGTATCCTGTTGGGACTGTCAGATCTGGGAGGACTGACAGGCAACTGCAGCGTGGAAAATCATTGCTGAGCGATGTTGGTTTAGAAACTCTGCTGTTCTGAGGCTGCCTTGGCGAGGAACCTGCACTCCCTGTCTCTGTGCTGCCGTGTGCCCGTGGGTGCCCAAATGCTCCATTAATGCATGCAAACCTCTTTCTAGCCAAGCACGCGCTTGAAAGTTTTGAAATGAAACCCATTGCAGAGGAGGAAGAGGAGGAGGAGGAGAAGGTAGAGGTGGCTCAGGTTCCCATTGCTGAGCCAAAGCTGCCGGACCTGGTGCAGCAGCAGTCAGGTATCGCCACGGCTGTGCATGGCACCTCAGGTGCCCACTGCAGTCACCTGTGCCGGGGCTGCTGGGTTGCAGTGGTGCTGCAGGGCAGGCTGCCTGGTTTGCAGTGGTGTTCATCGCTGGTGAAATCACCGCCAGCTTTGCCAGCGTGTTGCTGTGTGAGTGGAGTGCCTTGACGTGGCTTGGCTGTGTGCTGCTGCAGTGGAACTAATGCCAGCTGGGTGTGACAGCCTTCTAACACTTCTGTGCCGCTGTGCCTTTCTGTAGGATTAGTTTCTGTGGGCAGTGTGCCGTGCCTCAGACCTGGAGGTGTTCTCTGGGCCCTTGGAGGTCACCTCTTCCTCTTCTTGACACTTTTGCTCCCAGTAGATACTGTCTGCTTGGCCAAGGTGGTGATGATTGCTGTTTTAAACCTTGGATTTTGGAGGGGCATTTTTGATAGTGTTTAAATCTAGAATAGTGTATCAAAATAGTTAAAAGGTCATTAATTGAGCAAACCTGAAGTACCACAGTTCAGGATGGAATGCACCCTCATCACTGAGAGGCAGAGGAAGAGCTCAGTGTCTTTTTGTCATTTTTTGCTGTGCGTCCTGGAGCTCTGAGGCACTGTGTGAGGAGCACCAGTCCTTAAGGAGAGCTGGCCTTGTAGCTTTACAGGTGGCACTGCTTCCTTTTCTGTTTAATCTTTGAGGTGGCATTTAACACACGCGTAACTTTTTTAGCCACACATGCCTCTGGCACTGTTGAGATAAGCCCAGTAGAAGAAGAGGAGGAGGAGGAAGAAAAATTGGTGGTGATGGGAGAGCTAAAGCCAGCCCTGAAGGAGCCAGGTACGACTGTGACAGCTTTTTCCCCCCTGCCTGCCATGTCACAACCCCACATACAACTCCTTGGGCAGCTGTCACCGCTTCTAAGGCACCAGTGCCACCCTGGAGCAGATGTACTCCTGGAAGGACAGCACTCACTGCTCACTGCTGTGCTGGAGGGTGGGAGGGGGAATGCAGACAGCAGTGGTAACTGGGGGGCTCTAGTGTGGGTTTCAGCAAGACCTGTGTCAAGGACTCCAACTTAAAGATATCACCTCAGTGATCAAGGTCTTGCTTTTTTGCCCATCTGCCTTCTGTGTTGCTGACCCGTGGATACTCTGTTCCATACACTTTTTGGGCACACATGAAATGCTGTTCAGCTCCTTGGTGAATGGTGTGACGTGAATTCTCACTGAGGAGCCACTTAAAACTGCATTCCTTCTTGAATTCCAGAAATACAGTGTCTTTGATTAGCCGGGTGGGCTCGGAAGAAATCCATGCAATGTGACTCTTCCTGACCACCTGTATATGATGTTTTTAGTGAAATAGCAATCAAAAGGCAACACTGGGAGAACTAAGTAGTTTGTTGTGCCTGTAGATAAAGACCATGAATTAACTGGGGCTTGCTTTGTTGCACAGCATTAGCTTTTGAATGCTTGTGGAAGTTTCGGGCTTACAGAGCTCAGGGGTTGTCTGGGAAGTCAGAACTCAACAGAAGAAGCAGGCAGTTTTTGTGCACACGTAGTGCTTTTATTTCAGGCTCATCCTCTCAAAAGACAATTTTTTTTCCAAGCATGTTATTCATTTGTGCACTTGCACGGAGTTGGAGATGCTGGATATCTCCTTGCAGCCGTGCCTTGTGCTGCAGCAGGAGATACCCATCTCAGGCACACTGCGTGAGTCTGCTTTGGAAGCCACCTGAAAGTTGCTGTGAAGTTTTATTGTGAAGTGCTTGTCGGGGTATTTCCTTTTTATTCTTCTTTGCATTGCTGAAGACATCAGGGCTCTGTGGGAAAACTTTGGTTACTCTTCTAGAAACCACCCATTTCTGATTGAGGGCGTGCAAAGGAGATCCAGAATTCACCGCAGCTCTAAGTGTTGCTATTTTAAAGGTTGTGTTCTGATGGAGTTCTGTATGAAGGACCCAGAAATCAATGGCACAACATCAAAAACAGATTAGCCTTTCTGCTGTGGCTTCTCTGCGGAGTGCAAGCTTGCTTTCTGTAAACCATCTCTTGTGGGATTTTCTTTTTATTTTGTTCCAACCATCAGGAAAACAATCTCGACTTCCCCACACTAAATGCAAAAGCTGCTTTGCTCGACATCTTGATTTCTTCTTCCCTTTTTGCCTCCTTCTCCCTCCTCCCTTACAACTACGGCGCTGTAATTTGGAAACCCTTTGTGTGGAGCTGCGGAAGCGCTGCCCGCTCTGACCCTTGTGCTGCCTGTCTGTCCCTCAGCTGTGGCAGTGATAACACCTGAGAGGAGCCCCCGGCCCACCTCTGCTCCTGCCATCGCCCAGAGCCACGTGGCTGAGGCAGCCCCAGCTAAGCCTGATGCCAAGGAAGCCCTCGCTGCATCAAAAGTAGAAAAGGAAGCACTGAAAGCTGAGGCGAAGCGTGAGGAGGTCCTCCCAGAGAGAGCCAAAGCAGAGCAAGCTGAGGCATCTAAGGTATGTTAGTCCACATCACTTGGGGAGAGACTGGTGCCAGGCTGGAGCTGTGGCCCTGGGCATCTTCCCTTCCTGGGCAACGGGTGGGAGGGAGCAGTAGGACCTGGATAGCAGGGAAATGCCAGCCCTGACCACAGTGCAAGGAGGGGGTGGCCAGGTGGAGGCAGAAGGGCTGGCTGGTGGGAGCTCTGGTGCAACTAAACACAGCAGGCTGACACATTTAAAAAGTCAGTGAGAATTGCACACAAATAGATATTTGAGTTTGTGTTAACTTGAATTCGGGGCTCACTCTTTGCTAAGCTCTATCTGCTGTTTCCTGATAGGGCAGGTGAGCAGTTCTGGTGCAATCAGTGACCTGGATATGGTCCACAGCCCAATATCCGAATGCTCATGCTCTTAATTTATATACTTCCTCTGGATGTTTCTAAAAACCAGACTGAAATTTTAGTAGTGAACGGTGCTGTTCAGACCTTGGGGTCATTTATTGTTTAAATGGAGGTTTTTTCAAGAATATTCACACTCTCCACAGATGTCTGAGGCTTCTGCTGGTGTTGATGTGATAAAGATATTCGTGTGTTGGTATTTTAAGTCAAAATAATGTGTGAAAACGTTGTTCATAGCAGAGTGTCCTTAACATTCTGCAAATCCCTGAAAGCTCACAGTGGTGCAGCATTGGTGCACGCCTTGAGTCACCATTTCCATGTCAGCCCGAATGTTTAGTTGCTCCCAGCTGTTCCTGGAGCCAGTTTTTGGTGTGACATGGGATGTGTGTGGTCTGGTGTGCACAACAGACATGAGACCCGTGGTCTCATCTGACACATTCACCATAGATCACGGTCCTGGGAGGTGGAGGTGCAGAAAGAACGGTTGAGCAGTAAATTTCTTGACCTGGATGATAATTTCTAAATGAAAATAGCAAAGGAAATCTTCAGGAGGGTATATTTGAGAATCACTCTTCTTGTTACACCACTCAGGCCCAATAGCTTTAAAGTGAGGATCAGTAAATTTTATTTATTCCATTACACTTATTGCAGATTTGTTGGCTTGTTTGTTTGTTATTGTGTTTATTTTTTCCCCTAAATGCTTAAATATTCCTTTTTTTTTTCCCCTTTAAACGTAGTTGTGGGGGGAAATGGTGGATTTGAAGACATCAAATGTGCCATTTCTCACATGTAGAACACCTCACACTTCTTTTAACACCAACTGATGCTTTCACCTTCAGAGTATTCAGCATCCCAGTTTCCCTGAAGTGCTTTCCTTAAAACATTAAGACAATCTGGGCTCTCTGCTCATGTAAATACCCTAATTTGGGATATTAGGTCCCTTTTTATGGGTAGGTCTCTTCTTACTGGCTGTGCAAACACAATACCACAGCGTCCCACCTGTGCTCATGTGAACGTGTTGCTTTTGGTCATGATTTCATGGGAAGATCCAGTGAAAACATGGGCTGGCAAGTATAATCCAGCAGGAAGGCAGCCTGCAGCAGCACTAGAGAGCACTATTGCAAATGCACATGACTCTCAAGCTGAAAGAATGACCTGAAATGAACTAACAGACTGCAAGAGATCTGCGGTGTCATTAACTCCTTGTGGAAGGCTGCATCTTGGTTTTTGCATGTGCATTTCAAAACCAGCATTTCAAAACCAACCTGATGCAGCTGTGTTTGGAAACTAAATTGTCTCTCGAGAAAAAGGCTACTAACAAGAAATGTTTTTACCCGTTTATTTCTTAAATGTAGGTGAGGAAAACGCACATTGAGGTCACAGCACCCACTACGGCTGGTGACCGACCCCAGGTTTGTGCCAATCTCTCAGTTAGGACACTCACTATTTTTTATGGCTACACGGTGAGGTTTGACGCAGTGAAATGAACCAATTTTTGTGGTTTTGTTTTTTCTCCCTTCTTATCACGGCCCAAACAGAAGCAGCCTGCAGAAAAAGAGGAAGAGCTGATAAGAATGAGGAAGGTCAGCCGTTTTACGCTTTCACAAAACAAATTTGCTGTATCACTCACGCATACTTGACCTGTTTAAAAAGACAGTGCTCCAATTCCTTCGTGTGCTTTGGGTTGGGTTTTTATTTTCTTTATTTTTTTTTGTCTAAACCAGAGCTGTCACACACTTGATTTGGAAGCGTGGTGGCTGAAATGACCCACGTTGAACGTCACAGAGGCACCACCAATCAAAGCAAAAGCCAATGAAACCCTGGGAGCTGTCTCTTTAAAGGACTCATTGCACTCATTGCATTTTCCCATCCCCATGAGCCAGACCTTCATTCACTGGTGGTGACTGTGGCCCATCCCTCACCGGCGCAGCGCTGCGCTCCACTCACTTAACTTTTTAATTTGCCAATTTGTCGATCCTGCAAGAACAACCTTTTAATTTTTTGTGCTTTTCTTTTTTTTGTTCCCCCTTTTCTTTCATTTTCACAGAAGAGATCAAAGAGACTAGATGGTGAAAACATTTATATCAGGCATAGCAATTTAATGTTGGAGGTTTGTATGAACTCAAAGCTTTTTTCAGTTGCGTTTGCCTAGATCTGTGTTCTGTGCTCAACTTTTTCTTCCTCTTCTGCTGCTGCCTTTCTTTTTGCATGCTACTGCATGAAATGTTTTTTTTTAAGTACGCTTTTGCATGTTGACAGTAAACATGACGATGTGCAGGCATTCTTCCTTCTACCCCTTCTGACTTTCATTCTCTCATACTCCCAGGATATATGATTGGCAGAGCCATGTGCTCAGCCTGCTCTGTTCTTGGACCACGGCACACATTGTGGGGGGAGGCTCCTCTATGAGTTCCTGGTAGCTGGAAATAAATTAATTCTGGTGGGTGAGGGCAGCCCAGTGGAATCAAGGAAACACATCCTGGGACAGCCTGCATTGCAGTCCATCCCCTCGGGGCTGGCGGTGACCCATGGCAATGGATGCCCATCCATCCATCCATCCTTCCATCCATTCCCGTTGGCTCTGGGAGCCCTTGGCTTCACCCAGCACAATCTCAGAACAGAACGTGCCAATCATATATTTACCCTTACACCATGTTACAGAAGACTCTGTGGCTTCTGATATTCTGTTCCTGTGTTATGTGTTTCTACTCCAACTTGCAGCACCAGCAGCTGGTCGTAGGGTTTTCCTCTTGGTATCTCTTGAAAGCAAAGTGTACTAACTGCCTTCTCCTAATCTGAATTTTAAAAGTTTTGCAGCTTTTGGGGATTTTCTTTCTTTTTTTTTTTTTAAATGACTGCTACAATTTAAGCTTTTGGACATGAGCACCCACCGGGCAGAGTTTGGCCACCACTGTGAGGACAGTGCCTTGTCGCTTCCTTTAGACCAATTGAGCAGCTCCTCCTCCCCGACTTCAAGCACAGCTCTTACCCACACCCTGCTTCCAAACAGCTTTTTCCTGTTCATGAGGGACCAGGCTCTGCTCCCCCCACCCTCCCGCTGGTTCTGTTGCAGGTGCTCCAGTGGCTCGCCCCTCTGCTCCTCTTCACTCTGTGTGCGTGGCAAAGCTGGTGGTTTCTAGCAGACCTCACAACTGCTGGCACAGAAATGCTCCAGGAGCTGCTGTTTAATTGCACTGAGCTGTTCAATGCTTAGTGCTCCATATGCTGCTCTCTGCGGACGTAGAAAAAGGCAGAACGTGAGGGAAAGCTTGGTGGTCATAGCATGTTCCTCAAGGTGTTTCAAGAGCAGCTGTGATCTCCTGGGTCGCTCTGTGGCTGCAGCCTCTCTGCAGGCTCAGATCGACTCTTAGGAGTGGCAGCAGGGATTTGGGTGCTCTTTCTCTCTTCTCCAAGCCAGTGGCAGCCATAGGGCTCCTGACCCCATGCCCAGATGCAGTTTGCATGGAGTCCTCAGCCCGCCTCTCCGTGCCACTTCCCATAAGCAAATGCTGTGCTTTATGTGGGACTGATGGCAGAGCTTTTATTTCCCCAGAACTGTGCCAAAAAGAGCAAATTTACTCATTGGGCGTTGGGGGCCTGTCACCCTGTGTGCTGCAGGGATGCAGGTACCAGAGTGGGACGTCTTCCTCTGGGGAAGTGTTTGCTTCAGGAAGTGCTTGCTTTCCCATCTTCTTAGGTCTATGGGCTGGCTGCCAACTCAAAGCACAAAAGGAGTGAATTTTGCCAATGATGCTTTTCCTGATCTTACTTTCTCCTTCTCTATAGAGTGAGGCTTGCTGTTTTCTGGCACTGTCCAGAAAAGTTGTTTGGCTTAAGCCTATTTTATGCAAAAGCTTTGTGTTAAACTAACTGTTTGCTTGCAAGGGGAGGCTATTTCTAAACGTCTTAGTTGAACAGAGCTGACTTGCCTCAAAGTCTGTTCATTTATGCTGTAAACTGGCATTGCAGAGAAGAAATCTGGCCCTTTCCAGATTAATAATCTAAGCAGGAGTTTCCTGCTTGATCCAGCATGAAGTAAATGCTCAGTTAAGTTTTAGAGGTCTGCATCTCATCTTCAGCTCTGAAGTCTAAAGCTCCTTTGGTGGCTCCTGGAGAGAGGAAATGAGATGAGAGGAAAAAAAGATAATGGGGTATTCTGGAACCAAAGATAACTTGTGTTAAGACGACAGAGAATAGGTATAAAGAGAAGAAATGAAACTGGAGAGAAGCCTTCTTAAACATTAACTACCCTTATATCCTTGAACATTCAGACTAGCAGAGGGAAAAGAAAGCAAATTCAAAAGCATGAAAGAACCCAAGCAAACTTAGACTTGCAATTTGAAAGCCCCATGTGCAGCAAGGCCATGAGGTGACACCTCAGCAGTCACAGCTGGAGATGAGCTGATGGCAGGTTTGGGTCCTGCAGGAGACACTGCGTGGTTCTGAGTGTGGTTTGCTCAATGCAAGGCCAGAAAGAAGGGAGAGGTACATTCATAGTGTGAGCACCACTGATGGAAGTTGGCAACAACTCTGCTGAGTGCAGCTTTGCTTTGTGGCAGCATAGGCAAACTGTAGGTCGCCCGTCTCCGTGTCTCTTCATTTATTCTGTCTTTCCGCCACTAGGATCTAGATAAGACCCAAGAAGAAATAAAGAAGCACCACGCCAACATCAGCGAGCTGAAGAAGAACTTCATGGAGTCTGTCCCCGAGCCTCGCCCGAGTGAATGGGACAAACGTTTGTCCACTCACTCCCCGTTCCGAACGCTCAATGTCAACGGGCAGATTCCGTCGGGAGCGGATGGAGTGAGTACTGGGGTCAGGAGGGAGCCCAGCGACAGCCCTGCCAGCCAAGTTAAGCCCCAGCTGCCCCTGGGTTGGGTGCACTCAGTGCGACTGTTAGATGGGCTCTGCGGGAATCAGTGCTTTTGTTTTAGTGCCCTAAAACTGTGGGTTTGTATTTAGGTGGGTGAAAGAAAGTGGGCGTTGTTCACCTGGTTTTGGTACTGCTTTTCATAGTGCTGTCCGTGCTGACAGTGGCTTCACATGGCTGCTTTGGGGTTTGGTTTATTCTTACTACCAAAGAACGCATCTCCCCAAAATATTAAACGAACAAGAAACCAACTACCCAACAACCCAGCCCTACATCGAAAGAAGTTGTCGCTATGGAGATAGCATTGCAGGAAGCCAGTGGACAAACACCAGCATGGCATCAATTGCTGATGTCACTGCAGCCCCATTTAATCCAGTCCCTGGGTTTAGTGTCACGCTGGGCTCTGCTAGTGCATGTAGGTGTGCTGTGGTGAGAGCAGGGCTGTCTGAGACGGCGGCCTCTGTCCTTGCAGAAGCTGTGTCTGCACACCAGGGGCTGCAGGCATTCCGAATCTCCCTGCTCATTCCCTCAAAAAAAAGGGACTTCTTAGAGAAACCGAGATGGAGCAGCAAGGTCTGCCAGCTTGTTTCTCCTCTGATAATGGACAGCTTCTCCCTTTGTATTAATGCTGGCACTGTCTGGCTCAGATTTGAAGGTTGTGAGTGAAACTGGTCATCAGTCCCTTCAGTAACGAATGAGATTTTCTTTAAAAGTGAGGAAGTTGAATGCTGGCTGCAGTGAAGGCGGCTACAGAATCTCTCCTGGCTTAACCTCAGCTTCTGCCCTTCCTGCCCACTGCTCTGCGGAGAGACTTCTGGTGGCTTTTCATGCCATTGCAAGGCTGGTGGTACTCCATAAACAGAAGTAATTCTGCAATGGGTGGAGGGCTATCAGCAGAAGCACAGGGCTTCACTGGACAGAAGTTCACTGCAGGCTCCTCAAAGCACGAACAAAGGCCAGTGCAGGGCTTTTTTCCTGTTAGAAAAGCAAAACAAGCCCACCAAAACGAGTCTGTTGTCGTGCTTGGAATTACCCCGTTTAAGGCATGGATGAGTTTTACACTTTGGTTGCTGTCTCTTAGTGTAAATTCTGCCGGAGTTTGCAGAGCACAGCAGAGCTCAGCCTGCTGCTTCGTGCAGGTGGAATAGAGCAGGGGCCCTGCAGCTCAGCAGCTGCAGTGCAGAAATGCAATTCTTAGTTACTCAGAAATTATGTTGTGGTGGCTGCACTTGGAGTGCTTGGGGGGCTGCTGTGCACAGCAACTGGGTGGAGTGCATTTACCCACTGAAGGCTGCAGTGGTCCACAGTGATGTGAAGATTGGTGTCAGCTCTTGATTTGCATTTCTGGAAATTCATTTTAGTTTGCATTCTGCTGTGGATTTCTAGAAATGCATCTTTGCCACATACAGAGAAGGCACCTCCTTGGGGCTGTGTTTCACTTGATCTGCACATCAGTGTAAAAAGCTCGGGGATGGTGAACATAATGCAGATAATTCATAATGCAAAGTAGCCCTGTTTCGTGGTGGTATCTTAACCCCGAGGTGGTGGCAAAAGGATATGAATCTGCCAGGGGCTGTTTTTTGCTCTTCCCATATTGCTGCAAGACAACTGAACCTTACGTGCTTTGTGTGTCCAGGTAAAGAAAGTCACTGTCCTATCTTCTGAGAGACAGGTTGGTTGGTGGGCTGGAGGTAAAGCTGCTGTTCTGATACGTGCTTCTGAAACGGAATTCTGCTATTGCAATGGCACCAAGCAAAAACTCAACAGCAGCTGCTAAATAGCATTTTTCTTTTGGCTACGTGAAGTAGATTCATAACTCACAACTCCCAGAGGACTTTGTGCACCGCTGCAGCTTTTGCAGCTTTTGGTTTGCTTGCGTTGGTGCATGGCTGGTTGGAAAGAGCTGCATGAGCGATGTGACGGTGTATTCAGAAAGAAAAGCAATGATGAAAGTTTAACTGTACCCTGTTCTTTTCATGTTGTCTTTCTTTCCGTTTTTCTTTTGATGATCATGTTACTCTTGCATTTTATCTTTTCTTTTGCTGCCCAGTCTCCCAGCTACTTTCTCCCTGATACTCATCACTTAGGGGTGTGCAAAGAGCCGGTCCCTAAATACCACACTGATCAGAGGAGGCTGGCTCAGCTGAGGGAGCTCAGAGCCAAGTTCTTCCTTTCGTAGCCTCACCGTGGCTGAGCAGAAGGGATGGAGAGCTGCCTGGATGGGTCACAGCAGCGTTCCCACAGTCCTATTTACCAGTGAACACACCAGAGCCCTTGCATGATCCTGTGTGACGATTGACTCCTTCTGTTTTACATTCTTGAGAATCCAGGAGCAAAAGTACTGAAATGCAGAGCAAAGTTTAAGGAGTTTGGAACCGTTCCACGCTCAGCATTTCTGAGATGTAAAGATTTTTCACTTCTTCCAGCAGAATTTTCAAAGCAATGGAAATTTTGATACCGTTGTCTGAATTTTAAAGAAAAAAAAAAACAAAAAGTTTTCTATCTGCACTGAAGTCTGAATGCTCTCCGTTATTTAACAGATGCTATTTTTAAGGGCACTGTAGAATAGGGAGTTGTACAAAGTGTGGTCTTTGTCTGCACCGTTTCTATTTGTAATGCCACAAAAGCAGACTGTCGGACCGCTCCGATTCCAAACACATTGTAACAGGCTTTGACCTTGCACTTTTCTTGGAAGGCAGGCACAGAACACACGTGGATCATGACTCAGAGACCCACAAGCTCTGTCAGCTAGAGCTGTGCTTTGTAGCTCAGCCAGAGAGGTGTGAGCTGAGCTCCCTGGGGCTCTGCTTTCATAGCAGTGCATTTCCACGCTGACATTTGGACTGGCCAAACGCTTTGCACACCTCCAAGTATCGTTTTGGGCACTTCCCATCTGTCATTTTTGTTCATCTCTCTCTGTCTTTCTTGATCTTCTACCACGAAAGCAGACACAGGAACGTCCTCTGTTAGTGCAGGATGAAGACAAACTAAAAAAGCAGCAGATCCCTACTGAGACAACATTTCCCCAGCAAGCAAGCGAAGAAACTCTTCCAAAGGTTTCTATTCCGATTCCTGAAGAGCATAAATCACTCAAAAAGTGCCAGCTGTACTCTAGAATTTTTCCATCTCCACGTATCCCCTTTATGATGTCTTTTCTTGTGGTGGTAGCACTGACTGTTTGGTGGCTGCTGTTTCTCTGAGTGGGAACAGGGTCATGCAGAAACCTCAAGACCAAAGCTCCTGAATCTCTTGGCCGTGGCATCAGCTGCATCCTCCTTGTCCTGGGCTCTGATCTGCGCAGCTCGTTGCCCCTGGGGGGGGCACCCTGTGACATTTGCTTTAATCCTGCTGTTCTCTGTGTGGCTGTGAGCTGGGGCCTGGCAGGAGTGGTAATGGATTGCCGCGGATGTCGGGATGCCTCGGAAACACGTGTTCCCAATTGCAGATGCTTGGGCTGTAAGAGGGCAGGCTGTGTGGCAGGAGGTCTCCCTCCGTGCAGCCACTGCTGAAGATTTGCTGTTAGGCTTGTTTCAAACATGAGGTGTTGACAAGCAGGACGTCTGATGGTGATCCAGAAACCCAAAGAGGCTTTTCAGCAACCTACTGAATCCAATCCATAACCACTCCTCCTCCAGGAAACTAAGTCTGGCATTGAGATAAGTAGCATTGATCATCAGTGCTGCTGTTACTGTTAACTTAGAGACAGGGACAGGCAGCTTCTCATTCTCCCAGTGGGAAGCCCTTGGCAAAGCATCACAGCTTCCATCTTGTGCCCGTATTCTCATTTCAAAGCAACTGCATCGTTTTGCAGGAGGAAATGCATTAGAAGGAAATATTTATTGTAAGCAGAGGTCGATTATTTTTCTCTCTCTGGTGGTCTTGGTATGCCTCAGCTGTGTTCTTTTTAATTTGTGTTGAACTAACTGTAGCATGTTTGCTTAAGTGACAGGAATGGGAAAACCCACTGTTACACGCGTCGCCTTTGGTAGCATGTTGATGTTCCAACTCTTCCATTTACCTGAACTGTGATAAGACCACTGTGCTCAAGCCATAACTCCAATGTTAGAGCCATCTATTGTTTTGACTTCTCTAACAGCAACAAAAGAAACCCGTTGCATGCTGCTTGTTGTTTATTGCCTACCTGTGTGATTGTCTGGGTGATGCTCCTATTTATCCAAGTTAACTCAATAATGAACGTGGTCGAGCTGTGTAGGATGGGCAGAACCAGGTCTGCAAGCTGGAGGGAGGATGGGGCTTTGTGTCCACGGGGTTTCTTTGTGTACATAGTAATTCTGTGAGTGAACTGAGCCACCTGCTTCTCCTTCAGCAGCAATATGCTTTCTGTTGCTTTCTGTGTAGTGTTGGTGTAGGAAGAGTTACTTCTGAGAACAGCCTCCAGTGCCATCAGTGTTGGCAGCTGCTCCGACAGCGTAGAAGAGAAAGGAGGACGACTATCACAGGGGCCAAAATATGTGACTATATATAAATACCTGTATTTATAACCCTTCGTAGATCCGTATCTGTATGAGCAGTGTTATTTAAGAAGTTAGCAAATATACTTACAGGAAAAAAGCGCAAGGCAAACTAGGTATGTGCACAACTTGGCATGTGCTGGCTCATCCTAAGGATCCCTGTGTGTGTAGAGGCTGAGGCTCCCTAAATGCTGTCTCAGAAATGTAGGTTACGAGTGAAACCCTCCATCTGATCTCCTGGAATCCTTCTGATCTGTCTGCTCTCTTGTAACACGCTCCTATTAGTTCACCAGTTTGTGCCTTTAGGACTTAAGTTTTCTGCTGAATTCCTTGGAAAGTATTCTTCCCGTTACAATACACTGCCTTTAATACACAGTCTTCCTCTTTCAGCAGTAGGGATGGCAGATGGAAATCTGTTCAGCTGTACCACAGCCCAAAGGAGAGCTGTCAGCCCCAAGGAGGACAGCTGAAATTGAGGGGCACTGTGTTAAGTGGGCCTTGGAGAGGAGAGGTGGGAGAGCCTGGACGTGGAGTGCTCCTGCATTGCAGAAGATGATGGAGGGAAGAAGCTTTCCAAAAAGCTCTCTGAAACTGGAGCATGAATAACGAGATGTGGGAAGCATTGATCCTCCACAGCAAGAAGGGACAGGGAATGTTTTGTTCTTCCTCTGTGTGTTCTGTCCATTTTTCATGGAGAAGAATTAACCACACACCTCCTGCTTCCTTCCAAAAGCCGTTGCTTGGAGTAGCGGTCACTGAGAGCTGCTTGGGTTGTTGCCCACTGTCTGTCTGAAGTGATGATAAATACTCTGAAGCCGTAGCAGTGGCTTTTGGTTGCTGTCTGTCTGCCATTTCCAAAGGACCCGAAGTCTGAAAGCTTTGCCTGGTGCAGTGTTTGAACTCCAGAGTGCTGAGAGATGCCCTCTGTTGGCCATTGCAGCTCAGTTCTTTAATTAAGATGATTTCTCTCTCTCACACTTTGTTGCTGAACCTTGAGGTATGGCTGGATGTTATCAGCACAGAAAACAACTCCTTAAACTGTACGTTCAGAGAAGGCTCAGCTACGTTTGTTGGAGTTTATTGAACAGTTATCATTGAAGTGCTTAAAGAAACTGAACTGATGCTTTGTATTTCTAGGGCAGTGTAGGGGCCAGTTGTCTGTATTCATTCAGGTGGATGTGGTCTTTTGTGGCAGGGAAGGATGGGAGCTTATCAAGAGCAGAAACACCCCCTGGCTGATGCTGAGGTGTGTTTTGGGAATGTCTGCAGTCCATTGGGCTCCAGTTTGCTCTTCCAGCCACTTCTTCCTCTTCTCTGTTTGCTTCTATGGCAGATGGAGCTACAGCAGTGCCCTGAAGCAACCTGCCAGGGCCTTGTTTTCATGTGTTATGTGTATGGTGTGCGTTGTGCTGTGCTGGGTGATTCCTGCTCTCGCTGCATTTGCTGGATGCCCATTTGAGGCATGGCACTGCAAGGAGGCCTGCAGGGCTCTGGACCAGTGTGCAAGGGCAGAGGTCTCAGGTTTTCATTAAGGAACTGAGCTCACTTCTTCCTCAGGAACAAACATGCTGCAAAGTACTGACAGCCCGCGTGATTCTTACTTCCAAAAGGAAGCTGCAGATATCTGCAGATCACCTCATCCCTGTTTGCATGGGAAATGCTGATTCTTCAGGATGAGGTGCTGCAGAAAGTGACATCTCAGTGACTCTGACACGCCAGAAACATGGCTGCCATGGCACTGCCAGCAGTGTTGCTGTTCAATAGACTTTCCCAGTGCTGTGCAGCCTGCCTTGCTGCAATGGGACTCGTTGGTGCTCACATGTGGGTCCCAGTGGCTGCACTAAGGGACCAACTGAGCTTCAGCCCCTTCGTCTTGTTCCATCCTGGAGCTGGTGGTTTGCTCTGTGCTGACTTTCTGAGTCTTACTCTGATATCAACTTTTCTGATCTCTGGATAACAGGCAGAACAGTTTCTTGGGCTTTCATGCTTTAGCATGGAGTGGCCATGTTTTCTTTTCCATTACGAAAAGGGACAGCTGGTATTGTCTGTACCTCCTGCTGTGTGCTGCTTTGCCCAGTGGGTTAATGGACAACGAACTGAGGGTTCTCTATGAGAAGATGTGTTGGGACTTGGAGTTAAGGATAGGAGCAGTTTCCCTTCCAGTTTATAAAGCAACTGGCAAGGACCCTACAGGGCAGCT